TAAACTAAATTAATGTGACTTGAATGAACCGACCAGCTCTTGTGAAGTCATACACAGGACAGTGCAACCATTGCAACCTTAAACAGATTTATAGAGGAACTTACAAAGTGTGGCGTTACCACAATAGTAAGAATATGTGAAGCAACTTACAATACTGATCTTTTGAAAAAAAAAAAAGGTGTCCAGCTTCTGGGTTGGCACTGCCGTCCAACCAGACTGTTGATGACTGGTTATGTCTTGTGAAAATGAAGTTTCTTAAGAACCTGGCATTGTATCAGTCACATATTGCAGGACTTAGGAGAGCTCTAATGCTTGTTGCCCTAGCATTAATTGAAGGTGGAATGACATATGAAGATGCAGTAAAGTTCGTAAGACAAAAGCGGAGTAGAACTTTTAAAAGCAGGCAACTTTTGTATTTGGAGTATTGTCCTAAAATCCAGCTGCACTGCATAGATACCAGTAGTCATGGAAACTACTGTTGCTGTCAATAAAACTGGGCTGCTTGATACTATTGCCTTGGAAATGGAACGTAAGACACGACCCAGTTTGTTGTACATTTTAGCCAATGTGTAGGCTTGGTGAATGATAAATCTAATGAAGCTTTCATAGGAGTATTGATAAGCAGTTTTATCAGGCCTAAAGCTTGGCAGAATTGCAGCCTCTGTGTTTGGATTATAATCAGCCTGTTTAGAAACTTAGCAAAAGATTCTTACTGTTCAGCATTTAAAACATGCTTATCATTTTTATCAATTGACCTTTCCTGAAACCGTGCAGTATTGAGTTATGTCTTTTTCAAATCTATTCTGTGCCAGAATCTTATCAATATATAAGAAATTTAAAGAACTAGGTGCCAAAATACCCAGTACAATACCTGTATATTTTTAATATCGTACAGAATTAAAATCCCAGAAACTATCCCAGTCTAGATTTTCTGTGGTTTATCCCTTCAGTCATTTCAAGAATTGATGGTAGAGCCTAAATGGCTATTTGCCTGCTACTTTATGTTTATATCTCCCATATTTAAAACAGTATACATCAGGTTTGTGTGACCACTGATTTTGTTGGCTTTTGACCAAGTCTTATAATGATTTTTTAATGTCTTTATTCTGTCAATCTCATTTTGTGCTGTTATGAAATCCTCCGTTTTGAAAATCACAAACCTCTGGTTGAAAAGTTCGTGTAAAGTCCACATCATCAAAGTCCACAGAAGCACATATCTTTAATGTCTCCAGACAAAAATGTCTTAAAATTAGTTTAATGTTTGCACTTTGGGGTGCAACTTAAAAGAGAAGGCCTGAAAAAAGAGTGAGAGCGAGCTATTTTTGGTAAAATGGTGTGCTTGTCTTGTGCAGGACATCTGGTATATGCCCTTCAGTTTAGCACACATTTTTTAAAGGTAGATTATGCTCTGTTGTTGTAGCTAAAATAATTCTTAATTGTAAAATTTCTGAAAATCCTGTAATTTTTCCCATTTTTATTGGAAGTTGTTTGCCAACTATTGCTGTGTGAATTTTTTCCTTTTCTCTCAATCTTTCTTGCAAAAGGAGTTAATTTCTGCTGATGCATTGAGCAGATATCTAATATTTTATATTCCAGTTGAACTATGTAACTTAATATTTGTATACTTGATAATTTGTGTTATGTAATTGATAAAATGATGCTGTGTATTAATATTAATTCACTCATACATATATATATATATGCTGTATATATGCATATATATATACTATCTGGAATTATGATTATAGTTCTTTGGGAGAAATAATTTGTCAGCATCCACTAGCTTGTAAAAACTTAGTGCAAGAGTTTCAACATCTAAATAAATATTGAAATGCAAAAAAGAAAAGTTAAGAGTAATCACTAAACTCATGGAAAAAGAATGTATAACTTATAAAACAGAAGATGGAAAATGTTGAATTTTAAAACTCAATGCCAGTGAAGGCAGGAAAAGGAGAAAAAAAGAGACATCAGGACAAAAGAATGCAAGATTAAGATGGTAGCAGTAATTCCAAATATTATCAGTAATCACAAAATCTAAATGGACTAAATTTTTTCCTTAGAAGATGGGATTGTTTAATTGGATAAACGTTAAGCCCAGCTATATAATATTTGTGAAAAAGACACTGTAAAATTATGGATATGAAATGTTAAAAGTAAGAGGGTGACAAAAGGTATGCCAGGCAAATATTGAACAAAAGAAAGCTGAGGTCATTAAATTAATATGAGGAAAAAAATGAACTTTAGCCCAGAAAGCTTTATTAAAGATAAAAAGGGTCACTACAGAAGGATTAAAGACAACTTAGTAGAAAGAGATAACGGTGCTAGACTGTTATGCATTTAATTACCCATCTTTACAATGCATAAGACAAAAATTGATGGAATTACAAGGAAAGATTTAAAAATCCACCATCATAATGGGAGATTGCACACAACAACCACAATCATTCTAACATTCTGATAAGGTGCACTTAATGGCTTGGAATAAAACTTCCAAATAAGGTATCCTGGAAGTGTCATATCTCAGACAACTTAGATGGACTCAAAAAGTGGTTCCAGTAATGGCAAAGACTCTGATGTTGAAAATGCATATGGAGAGTTGGAATAAAAGTGGTTCTTGAAATGCAAGTGAGGAAATAGCAAACTTTCTAAATTAAAATTTTATATAGGGGCCAGCTCCGTGGCCGAGTGGTTAAGTTCGCCCGCCCCGCTGCGGCGACCCAGGGTTCGGATCCTGGGCGCGGACATGGCACCGCTCGTCAGGCCACGTTGAGGCAGCATCCCACATCCCACTACTAGAAGGACCTGCAACTGAGATATACAACTGTGTACGGGGGGGTTTGGGGAGATAAAACAGAAAAAAAAATTTTATATATAATTTAAATATTTGTGTATAGAGTAAATATCACAAATAAATATTTGATTATTTCATCAAAATTAAAGTTAGTCGATTTGGGAGATGTGAAATGAGATCATCTTATATTGGTGAATTCCTTATATTTAGGTTTATGTATATTAAATTTAAATGTGATCAACAATCTATTGCAAAAACAAGGTACAGCTATGAATATTTATAGTTCTTCAAAATAGTAAGACCACACTTCAGGTATGGTTTCTGGCTTCTTGGAGCTGGAGGGACTGCACACATAATGCAGTGTATCACACTTGTAACAGAGGCAGGACTAAAACTCAGATCTAGTCTCAATCTTGCACTGTTCTATTTTATCAAAGCTATATAAAATTGATACCAATGTGTTTTTCACTGTGATTATATATAAACTGTACATTCAATCTAAGAGCATTTTTTCCCATAAAGTCTACCCATCTCAAACTTTGCATTTGATATTTTAAAAAAACATTAATGAAAAGTTTATAGTAGTGAAAGAGTCTTAGACAGGGGAAGGGATAATTTGGATGGCCCTGGCCCCTCTTAAAGGAAAGGAAAAAAAAAAAAAACTGTAGAGAATTTTGAGAATGCCTCCTTTTCCTGCAGGCAAATTTTTCTTTGCCAAGTGGAGACATTTTAAAACAATCCATTGATCAGTTTTTGAGAAACAGCCATTGTAGGAGCCAAACACCAAACTCATCTTTGAGAACTTCCTGTGTGAAGTTGGAGAGAAGCACTCTTAAGTTGGATCTTTGGAGTCATATTTTCCTTTGCTCATCTCCCTGTCTCTTCCTGTACCCAAGTTCATTACCTCCTTTTCTCTTCCTCACGCCCAATCCTACCTGCTCCCATAACAATTTTAAATCAGTATTAAAGAGCTCTTGGTGATGGGGAGGGGGAGAATTGATGGTCATTGAGGAAACATGTTTATTGGCTAATTGGATGTTTTGTAGCTTGAAGACTTTTGAAAAAATACCCACTGGCAGATGCAACTTTCCTTCGCAGTCGTCTGGCTGCCTCTGACAGTCACTGCACTTACTGCATTTTGTTGCAGAAGCTCAGGAATCCGTGGGTGAAAGCCTTTAGAAATGATGTGAGCATGGCAAATATAAACCACGTTACAGTTACAACTCTTGGTGGGTTTGAATCCACTCAACCTGCTAATTAAGCAATCCACTACCTTCTCCAGCTCCCACTTAGCTTCCATTGCTATGGAACATTAGGTGGGAACAGAATTCCATTATTGGACTATAAAAAATATGAGTGTGAAAAAATGCCTAGGAAAGTGCTAAACACATGTTCAACTATCCATAAATGGCAGCCACCATTAAGAATACTTTTGTTTTTATTATGTTGGTTATCTGAGCTTCATTGCACTGAGCAGTGAAAGAGAAATTCCATGAAAAGCAACGTTAACCTGGACTATGTGGTCTGCTACCCATTTAAAAGTTGTACCACATGGAAGACTTTATTTCTCTGCTTTGTGGTAATCTTGAGACACATATTTTCTATCTGCTGTTGTTTTAAAGGTCATCTTGAATTGATTTAGCCCCACAGGGTTTAAGCATATGCCCTTTATTAACCTGCATGTTAACATTTTGACTGTTTATATTTGACAGTGTACTTATTTCCAATAATTTTATATTCAGTGTAAGAAAATGTAACTTAGAAGAAAAGTAACTTTAGTAACTAGAGAATTTAATATCAGTTTTATTCTAGTTCTCCTAGTTATTTGGTATTAATTTTCCTGTAAATATATCCAGATGTGTATGCAGTCCATAGATTCTATGAACAAATTCTGGCAACTGTTTGATAAATTATCATCTGAAATTTTCTGCCTCTCGACCTAGTTCTATCCTGAAAATAGCAACTCTTTGCTTATAGTGGAAATATTTTAAATCAATGAGACTAGGATATCAAGAGCAAAAGCCAGTTTAGAGTAACAGATAATCTGGGAACCAACCTGAATTCTGCTTTTGTTTATTTCCCACAGGTAATTTAACTTGTTTTCTTTGCTGGGAATAAATAAGTCCAGAAGAATTAGGCGAGCCTTATGGCTTGTTTAGTGGATTTTCTTGTTTGGTCTGATTTCTCTCTTTTTTGCTTGTGTTTTTAGGCTCAGCTACGTGAATCATGCAGAGGATCTGGCCTCCAAGCTCCTACAATGTTCCCCAAAGAACAGACTATCGGCACAGGCCGCCTTGAGCCACGAGTATTTTAGTGACCTGCCCCCACGGCTATGGGAACTGACTGATAGTGAGTATGACACATCCACAACATCCAATCAAAGCAAAGACATCATTTCAGCTTCTATGTGTAACTTACATGGAGAGACGTTCTTATGTTTATCTGTGCATATGTAAGAGTATGTATGTTTGTGTATGCATTACATGTATCCGTATGTTTGTGTGTGTGTCGAGAGAGAGAGAGCGAGGGAGAGGGCAGGAATGAGGGAAGGAGGGTTGTGTGTGTGTATATTTGGTGGAATCTTGCCATTCAATTGCTAGCTTACCAGACACAGGAAGAAAATGGATTCCTTTTTTGCTATCTCTGCTCTGCAGTCTGCAGCTGCATGTCTTTGTATTTGATTATGTGTGTGTCCAAAAAAATGATCTGAGCAGTCAGAAAGGAAAAGGAAAATATGATTTACATACTTAGTGCTTTATGCATACAGTACTTTTTAACTGGCTGCAGTACACAGAAGAGAAATGATTTATTTCTGTTTGATTCTCAGAGACCATCTTGGTTGTAACAATAACCTTAAAAAGGGTTGCCATGCAGTGAGCTGACGAACAGAGTTGGCAGTTGGCTAATGCACTGAATTGACGTGTAAGAACTAAAGACATATAATTCATTTTAACTACAAATGCTCTTGCTGCTCATGCAGACACCTCTTCTCTGGATCTTTTAAAACAAAACACATTCCTGGGTGGGTTTTTGTTTTGTTTTTACAGAAGTGTTCATATTTACACAGCCTTTTTCAATTACATTTTAAATATTTCGGGGAGGATTTATGGCGGGGAGGATCTCATCTTTCTTCCAAAGTGTGAAACAGAATTCTCGTGAAATTTTGCAAAACACTATCACAGTAAGAACATTTTTGTTCAATGGTGATAGATCTTTCCAAATGCCAATTAGAGATATTTCTTCTCCTACTCTTTTCTGATTGCCTTAAAAATTAATATACTGCATATATGCATAGGCATTTACAATTTACTAATCCTGGGTATATATCACTCACCATAAAAATACATAAAGTTATTTCTTTTATCTCTTAGACTTTAGATTTTCCCCCACATTGTAATATTGGGTTCTCCTTGACAACGATAACACTTTATTTTGGAACTAAGAAGCAACTCTTCTTGGGTATTCCTAACCTAAACCTTTTTTGATATCCCACATTTAAATTCTAATTACTTTTTTTAACCCTAGATATATTAATATAATACCTATTTTAATATAGTATATAGATATGTTAATCTATTACTATTAATCTATTAATACAGATATATTAATCCACTTCTCCTCCTATGCTTAGTAAATCTTCTTTAACATTTCATATATTTCCAGTCCATATTTATTCTATATTCTGCCCTACTTCCTTTCTAAAAATCTACCCATTGACCATTACAACAGCTATCCCCATTAAAAAAAAGAAAAATTAAAGATGAAATCCCTATGGCAAAATAATGAATTGATGACACATCTTCCCATACTGAAAAAAAATGATGCAAATAGGCTCGCTCGTTTATGGCTCATCAAAATCCAGAATATGGTTTGTTTTCCCATTTAGTAGAACTTGTAACTTGGTATCACTCCTCCTTGGTGACATCTCAATCCCATCTGACTCAATGATTGAGTTTAAGCCAGGATTTTGATGGTCTATGAATTCTGAATTCTGTAGTAGTACTTTTCTGTTAATATGGACTTATTACCCACTTGCCACTTAGTTTATCAGCCAGTGGTTAAATCCAGTTTCTATCAGGAAGTAAATGCCTACACATTATCACTCAGCAGCAGGCTACCAACGGAGACAGACTTGTCCCCGTCATTAACAAGCACAATGTATGCAGAACACCAGAGGGGAATTAAAACCACAAAAAATACCTCAGGGTGGTATTTTTAATATGAGAATTTAATTTGTAATTTCACAGATTAAGAATTTTGGCTGCATTAATCCCTTTATCAGCTCACAGCAGGCTATTTGCAGAATCATAACCATAAGGCGATATTCATTGGCAGAAACACGTCTTTGCATAACGTTAAACATCAGGAGCAGTGAAACCTTTTGAAGGGGGCAGAATAAAGATGAAAAATCATTATATTTTTAAAGCAAGATTCTGCTAAATGCCTCCGGTAACAATTTTGAGTTACAGAAATGCTATTTCTGTGTCTAGTAGATAATCATTATGAAGCATAAATCCAGTCACTAGAAAGGACAATCGCAGTATTAAATACTACAGTCATTTCCATTTAGAACAACGTAGTAGTCCTTGTAAACATGTTTACAAAACAAAGAATTCCTAGACTTTGGGAACTAGTTCTTTTAGGTGAAATGACTGGTTTGGGTGACTGTTATCTAGGTTAATACTCTGCAAACTATATTTAGAAATTCTTAAAATTAAATTTTACATTATTATGGAGTCTTGTAAAAGTTCACCACCTAGCAAATGGCAGCAGCAGCAATAGCCTCACGTGCTTCCTTTCCAAGGGGATTTGGAAGGAGGTCCAGAAGTGTTGGCAAGAAGTGTCGCAGAAGCAATAAATGGATTGTCTTGGCAACCAGGTTGTGGTTTGGAGTCATCAATTCCAGGAAGCTCATTGTGTTAGTCAGCCAGGTTGCTATTACAAACTACCATGACTGGAGGGGCTTAAACAACTAACATTTATTTCTCACAGTTCTGGAGGCTGGGATGTCCAAGATCAGAGAGTCAGCAAAAGTGGTTCCTGGTGAGAGCCTCTTCCTGACTACAGACAGGCACCTTGCTGTAACCTCACATGGCAGAAAGAGCGATTTCCCTCTCTCTTCTTCTTCTAATAAAGCCACTAATCTCTGGGGCCGGCCCCGTGGCCGAGTGGTTAAGTTGACGCGCTCTGCTACGGCGGCCCAGGGTTTCTCTGGTTCGGATCCTGGGCGCAAACATGGCACCACTCATCAGGCCACATTGAGGCTGTGTCCCATGTACTACAACTACAAGGACCCACAACTAAAATATACAACCATATTCTGGGGGTATTTGAGGAGGAAAAAGCAGAAAGAAAAAAAAAGCCACTAATCTCATCATGAGGGCCCCACTCTCATGACCTCATCTAACCCTAATTACTACCCACAGGCCCCATCTTCAAATACCATCACGTTAGGGTTAAAGGCATCAACATAGGAATTTGGGAGGGACACAAATCAATCCTTGGCACTCACTTTTTTAAAGATAGCTCATAGTATTTTTAAAAAGAATACCCACAAAAGGAAAATACTTATGCAAGCATAAAGCAGAACCAGGTTAAAAGGAGAAGATTGGAACAAGAATAAGTTCAAAGTGGCCTGGAGCCTTCTTGGCCTACTTTAATATATCACACCCTGCAAGAAGAGCATCAAGTGTTATCAGAGGCTTGGTTACACAGAGTACTGTACACATTCCGTGGATTAGTATAAACATGAAGGTGCACACTTGTGCCAGACTCTTCTTTGCTTTGGAAGAACATATAACAATATAATATCTTTCTTTATTGTACTATTCCTTAAAACCTCACCAGTTTACGTAATACCAAAATTTAGAAGTAATGTGTTAATGTGTCACTGAAACAGGAATTATAAATTCATCAAGCAGGAATAATGGTACAGTTACTTGGGGATCTGGCAGTTAAAGCTGGCTAATTCTGGTGGCACCCAGTCATTCTTCTCCTATCCCGAAACCCCAACAGCCTTGCCCCACTTCTTCACAAAGATTTAATTGCAGGGAAGTAAATGGAGGGCTGATGTAGAAGAAATTCATTACTTTTCCCAAATACACCACAGGGCATTCTCCTGTGTATACTATCAAGTTACATAAATTATTGAAGCTGAACTACCCTTGTCAAAGTAAACGAACAAAATACACTTCATAGCGCAGAGTCCTTGATTTTATTACATTCATTTGCTAATTCACAAAACTCAAATCTACAGTGAAAGAAGGCCAACAAATTGTTGCAGTGTGAAGAGCACTGAACTGGGAATCATACCACCTGGATGCTCACTTCCGCTCTGCTAACTAGCTGGCCAACCTTGGACAAGTGCCTCAGTCTCTGTGGGCTTCTGATTTCTCAGTTAGAGACACAGGGATCCCTAAGGACCTTTCCAGCTCTGACGTTTGTAGGTTTTCCTACTTATTGCTATATGTGTTCTATATGTTATCCTAAAACAACATTGTGCCATTAATGTAGCTCCGTGCCATCTTTTTAAAAGTAAAACAAACACACCTAGTTCAAATCTATCTGCTGCTTCTACTTCCTAGACTTGCATTCTCTTGTGAATCCTTTTGAACCAGGCATTTGTGCCCAAGGCTCCAGAATTGCTGTTTTCAAAGTCTCTCTCCGTTGGTCTTTTCCCAGCCCTTAGCTTGATTCATCAGCAGAATTCAACACAGGTGACCACCATTTCCTCCTAGAAACATTTCCTTCACTTGGATTCCAAGACAGGACTCTCTCATGGCTTTCCTTTAGCCTCCCTAAGCTCTCCTTTTCAGACTCCTTTGAGGATTTCTCCTCATTCTTCAGACTTCCCACTGTTAGAGTGCCCTGGGGCTTAATCCTCGGATCTTTCTATTTGGGTACACTCCCTAGAGCCTACATGCTCTCATCCAATCTCATGATATAAATATCATCTATACACTGACAGCTTCCAGATTTCTATCTTCAGTCTCATCTTCCCTGACTCCAGACATGCATATCCAATTGACTACTCCACATCTCCATTTAGCTGTCTAGTAGGCATCTCAAACTTAATATTACCAAAACTGAATTCCTGATCTTTTCCCCCAGACTTACACCTTCTGAAGTCTTCCTCTTTTCAATAAAGGGAAATATCATTCTTCCAGTTGATGGAAGTTGTCCTTGACTCCTCTTCTTTTGTCCCACCCAAACCCAATTCTTCCATAGACCCTATTGGCACTGCCTTTAAAATATATCAAGAATCACACCACTTCTCCCTTCTCCACTGCTATCACCCTGCCCCAAGTCACTCACCATCTTCTTTCGCCTGTATTTTTACAATAGCCTCCTAACTGTTTTGTCTGCTTCTCTTCTTGCTCCTTAGAGTTGAGCTCTTGCTGTTTCATCTTTCTACAGTTTGTACTTGCTCTTCCTCTAGGAATTTGCATGGCCTGCCCTCTCACCTCCTTTGGATCTTTGCTCAAATGTACTTTATTAGGGAAGACTTCACTGACCTACTTCCACCCCAGCACTTCCAATTTCTTTGCCTTGCTTTATTTTTCTTCATAACACTTACTACTAGTTGATATATTTGTTTGATTGTTTATCATCTGTCTCCCCCAGATGGAATCTACAAAAATAGGGATTTCTTTTTGTTGTGATTTATATACTGTAGGATTCCGAAAAGCCTAGAACAACGTGGGATTCAATAAATATTTCTCCGCTGAATGAATGAAAGAATGGCGTGAAGAAAGGGCAAAATATGTTGTTTCCAAATCCAAGTTAATTGTTCTAGATCAGAGAAATAGGAAAGGTCAACTGAGCTGTGGTTCTGAGGGGAAGGCAGGCTATCCTGTCATACATGTGTCTAAATCTGTGTAAAGGTGTGTGTGGCTGTGACCACCAACATATACTATGATGTTCCATGTGCTGCACATCCAGAATTACATCTCAGTATCCATTTTTAAAAAGAGAAGATTGTAAATACATCTATAAATATATAAGTAAGTGAAAACTTTTCATTCTTTCCGCAGTGTCTTCTATTTTTACTGTCCCAAATGTAAGATTGCAACCAGAAGCTGGAGAAAGCATGCGGGCCTTTGGGAAAAACAATACTTATGGCAAAAGTCTATCAAATAGCAAACACTGATGAGCACAGCATTCTCAAGAGAGCACAGGTAAGATGGCCTACTTTACTTGGAAAGTAATATCGAATAGATCTTTTAAATGAAATATTTCAGATTCATTTTTTTCATCAGTATCTTATGAACCTCTTGTGTTCATTATGGCAGTCATCACAGATCTGCTGAGGCAGAGAACTGTCAGTCATTTCTGTGTTTTCAGGCACCTACTGGATTCTAACCAAAATTGTATTTTATTTATATAGTCATAAGTAAACCATTTTAGTCATAAGCAAATTATTTTAACTGCTTATACATTCTTCACTGAGGTTAGAAAAAGGTTAACCTTGGGCTGTATCTAAGCCACAGACCTTCTTTGTTTGGCTCCCCAAATTTTTCTAATTAGTTCTAATTAGTTTTAAAATGGGGACATATTACACAAAGTCTGGATTTCTGGCTTTTCTTGAAAAATCAGCAACTCTGGCAATACTGCTCTCACGTCCCTGCCAGAAGTTTGTGTGTGTGGCTGACCTGTGGCTGCCTCCCTTGGAACAGACATGTGCCCCCTAGTTTAGCTCAGCTGCCGTGTGGGCCCCTTCACCCATTTCTGATTCCTGCCTGCCCCTAGTACAGACCTTGTCATGGTGAAGCTTTTCTTTTTTTCCTATTCGATTCTTTGACCTCTACTATTCTGCACATAGGAAGCATAATCTAAACAAGGCAATCTGCAGGCATGTCAGCCTGTCCCACTCGTCGCACATGCTTCACAGAAACAAGTGTAAGACAGCAACTTCTGAAAAGGCTACGTCTTTATTGCCAGATGAATGTCTGGGTTTTTTGGAATTTTGTGCCTATATATATCTCTCTTTTTGTTTAATGTAACATAACTCTGAAGCAAATGAAGAACAAACGTTTGTGTGGGCAAGGCTTTTTATTTGCTAGCCCATATTTTTTCCTTTCTCATGTGGATGTTCAATCCTTCATTGTTCAAGTGAATCCGAGGATGCGTTCAGCAGTGTAGGAGCTCCTCTTCCTCTCTCTCTCTCCTAACGTGAAATATGCTAACAGGCTGAGTTGTCAGCATGGCAAAGAGAGCAGATTAAACTGTCTACTTTGTCTTGTGATTTGCCAATACTTTGAGCTATTTTTGGACTCAGTTTTTGCATACGCTCAATGTGGGGCCCAGTTTTGGCCTCTCAGGAGTATGGTGGTGATTTATGAATGATTTGGAGATAAAAGATTCCCAGATGAAAGATGGTGTGTAAATGCCGGTCAGGAAATGTTACTAATAGACTTGCCACATGATACGTGAGAGTAAGATTCTTCATTTTTCAGGTTATTTCTCCCTATTGGATAAAAGTTACGTGGAAGCACAACCTCACTCACCCAGTAGTGTTTGTACTTCCATTCTGAACTTCAATTGGTCAGACAAAGAGTGGGGCCAAGCTTCTGACCAGTTACATCCTGGTTCTGAGAATGGTTTTAATTCATGAGAGTTGCGGCATATGCTTTTAAAATTATTTAACCTACATTACCATAATGATGGCCCCTGGCTTTATAAATCCCTCAGACAATTCTGTAGAACAAAACAAAAAGTGGACTTTATTTGTACTGCTCCCTCGTACATGGATGCACACAAGCAAGCCTGAATTTCAATCACAGGGCTGTCTGTGTCCTTTCTTCTTGGCTCTTTGACCTGCGCCTGGCCAGTCAAAGCAGCTAGAATGTGTTTCAGATCAGTTTCTCCTTGTAAAATGAAATCAAGCTCACTGGTCAGAAGCATTGCCCATGAGGTCTCAAAAATTACTATTGACACGAGATTTCTAAAGGCACTCAAAATTACAATCATCAATCAGTATTTGAAAGCCTTTACAAAAATGTATTTTCTTTTCAGTATATTTTTAAAACCAATTTAAGGTTATACCTGCATGGCACTTCCTCAAGAATTATTTGATAATAATACAAATATTTTCTCTATGAGTTTTGTCTTTTTCTCATCAACTTTTAAAGCTTTAATGTTATTGTTGTTTTCTTCCAAAATTCAAATACCTCGGCTTGATTCAACGTTATATTGAGGAAACATCTAAATTTTTCTTTTCTCAGAAAACCTGCAGGGAAGCTGAATTCTAAGATTTTTCTGTCAGCAGAAAAAGAAATCATTTTAATTTCTCACCTTTGTGGGTTTTTAGTTTTAATCAAATAGGACTACCTTAGAGATCAAATAACATAGCCTATGTATTAGTCTGATACATCCTGTGCAATGACCTTTTTCTGACCAGTAGCTGAATATCAAATTGTAGACAAAAAGCAAAACATCTACATAATTACGGGTATTCATTGAGAAAAACATGTCATTCCCTAGAGTTTGATTTTGTTGTTGATGAATTAATTAATTGTTTAGAGAAGGCTGTGGCATCTTAAATTTTCCTCAAATGTCCCAATTCTTTGTAAAGCCCAGAGATTGAGAAGGAGACGGAGCGGGGAGAGGTTGGGGGCTCAAAGAGGCTAGGATTGTAATCTAGCGCTTCAGCCACCTCTCTGTGGGCAGTCACAGAGGTAAATGTGGAAAATGGATCGCTCTTGTTTTTGAAATGATAGAGGACTGAGTAGACAGGAGTGTTTCAAGTCCTAATGTTTCTCCAGTCCCTCAATGCCAAATTCTTTCTATACTTGCATTCTAAGGTCACTTCATTGTTGAGTTAATAATACTGGATTTGCATAAACTGGTCTTAGTGGAAAAGCTAATGAGAAGCACTTTTCTTTGCTGCAGAAAGCAATTTTGGTTTTAGAGTCCTGTAACCAAATTAGACAAAAAGAAAACCGCACACACCTACCTAGGTGAAAAATGGGGTAGGTGCTGGTGAATGATCAAAATACTATGCTGTCTACATTTTGTTATCCTCTAAAGATAGTAATAGACCTAAGATTTCATAGATTGTCCCCACTCATTTTATCAGCATTGAATGGTTAGAACCTCTTAAAATCTGAGAGAGCCTTAAATGGGCATAGAAATTCTCCCCAAGGAAAAGACCAGGAGCTGTATTGAATACACGTCCATTAGCCATACTTATGTTTACGCACAGTGATCCAAACACATCCCTGTGTTGAGCTCAACTTTTCAGTCATTCTGAACGGAGACAGGAAGGGCACGGTTGCTCTGTCCCCTTCTCCTTTTGCTGAATACGAGGAATAAGAATGACCTCTAATCGTTTAGACAGATGTTTTATAATTTTTCTGAAATAGTATATATTCATTATGGAAGCTCTTTTTTCAATGAATCAGTCTTCAGACCCTATTAAGTTTATAATAAATATACAAGAGTCTGTCTGCTACATGAAAAAAATTTTATTTGGTTAAAGTGCAGGAAGTTAACCGCATGTATATTTTGGTGACCCTGTCCTTGCCTTTCAGCATATTATCTTTGTTAATCAACATTATTTAATTGTTATAAGACAATGAAAACAATGTGTTAGACTCTCTCTGCCTGGCTCAGTCATCAAGCAATAATTTCCTAAAAGTAGGCTGCCAGGTAAACAGAGTAGAATGCATAAATTGCTCAAGAAATTTTAATTAAATAAGATAAAAACTTTTTAAAACACCAAATTCCAGATGAAATATAATGCTTTGTGCTTAATGCTCTCTGGCATTACCATCTGCACATTCAGTAGAGCGTATTTGCACACCCTGGGGTGCCAAAACCCCTGGGGAGTCATGGGCCCCAGGAACCTGGATTTTTAAGAACCCCAGAGGATGTTGGTGCAGGTGGCCTTTTAACCATCTATAATGAAGTCTTCAGTAAGTATTCAAGAATTCTATATTTATGAAGTAAAATAATCAACTGATTTGGGTCAGGACTGCATAAAGACAAACTAGGAAACAATCCTTTCCCTTTCCTTCCCTTTTTTTTAAACAAAGAATAGTGTAGAGTTGTACTATCCAGCACAGTAACCACTAGCCTTGTGTGGCTACTTTAATTTTAATTAATCTAATTTAATTAGTTTTGTTTCCTTGGTAGCACTATCACGTTTCAAGTGCTCCATAGCGACACATGACTCATGGCCACCGTATTGGACAGGACTGATACAGAACATTTCCAGTATCACAGAACATTCTACGGGACAGCCCTGGTGAAGAGCATTTCCCCTACCTGCCTTTTAAAAGAGCAATGAGGAAAATTAAACTGAATTCAACCGGTAAAAATATGTTTCAGTTCTAAATTATCGTCACTTAAGAGAAGCTCAAAATGTGTGAGGAAAAGAAATGCTCAGGTAAGGAAGGAGGCATGTTGCAAAGTGAGAGGGACGGAGACAGATCACTGAGAATGAAAGAAGGAGCTGTGCCCACAGGAACAGGAGAGACCAGGAGAAAGCGGGTATTCAGACCTTTCAGGGATGACACAGGTTTCTTCAGTTAACAGTGGTATTTGTTGAGATCGCTCCTCAGGGAAGTAAGGAAGACCAGGTTGACTGTCTAATTAGCTGCATGGGCAGGCCTCACAAAGACTGAGCATCCTTCAGAATCCAGCAAGAGCTTTAGTTTGTCTGCCATCTCAACTGCCACTTCAACTCTGGTAACTACTCCTGGAGAAACAGCCACCTCTTGCTCTCCTCCATGCTGTGACATTATGGCAGCTCACTTTTTCTGTCTCCACATCGACTAACATTGCTTTCATCTTCTCTTCATCTCGTAACTTTTGCTGACTTGTTTCTGCTTATTCATGAATACTGCTTAGTGTCATATCTCTTTGTCCCTGTTTCTGAGGCAGTCTATTGCTGTGCTCTTTTTCTCAGATTCAAAACCTCCTTGAGAGCAGCTCTGATTGGTGTAGCCATCACCATGAAGTAGAGAGCAAGGCTTTGAGGAGGGCTGTTGAGTCAGTCACCCCCGTAGAAGCTGTTGGCTGACTGTAGGCTGTTCTAGCTCAGGTGCTGAGCCCCGATCCAGTCAGCTGAGCTGTGAACTTAGTGGTCAACCATTTCTTAAGGAACTCCTGCATAGATGGCTCTAGGCTTACCAGTCTCTGAAGAAGCTTCTATGAAGCCAGTAGTGTAGATGGAAGGCACTTTGCCTGGCCCGTACACTGCCAAGGAAAAAAATTAGACAAGTACAGAGGGAAACTCCAGTTTTAATGGAGTGGCAACATCCTCATTGTGTGGTATTTTTGGCTATTGACTAAAGGTCTTTTTAAGACACGTTGCATTTTCTCAACTACAGACACAAAAGGAGATAATACCTGTTAGTACTTATCACTATGTAAGAAATTCAAGTGCTGGGTCCTTCTTTCAGTAGCAAGAAGGTTTCTGATTTTTTCTACAAAAACTATTTTCTGCATGATACTGCAAATTTGTTTCCTATCAAACAACTGCAATTTTATTATCTCTGTTGTCTCATGTAGTTGATGACAATAGTTGTGGAAATAAGAGGTAGAGGGGGAAAGAAAGCCTAGTGTTCCTTGCAGGTTTTTATCTGAAAGAACCCCTGGTTTTTGTCATTACGCCTACATTGCTGCAGATTTACAAGTACATCTTATTCGGGAAATTGACAGTGCTTCGAACCACACATGCATAATGCATATTATGAATAGCCGATTGAGAAGGGGCTGGAATGTTGTTTCATTTCCCCACCCCACCTCCACCCGCTTTTCCTTTGCTTTCTCTCTACCCTGGAAAGTTTATTTTCTCCTCTAAACTCTGATGCAAAAGAGTAGGCTAGGGAAGTTTGTCTCTCCTCTTGTCACTCTCCCTTCTCTGCTTCTCCAGCCCTCCCTTTCTGTGGGTCACTTCTGATCTGTACCACGCACCACCACCGCCAACCCTGTGAAAGGGTTAGCAAGGACTCCGAGGCCTTTACTCTCTAGTCTGCCGATTATGTAGTAGGACTGTCACAAAGCAGCATGAAAGTAAAGTTAAATATATCATGTTTCATCCAGAGTGCATTTTTTAAGTGTTTAATTTTTATATTGACATAACTTGAGATTTACAGAAAAGTTGCAAGAACAGTACAAAGAATTCCTGATGCCCTTCATGAACCACTTTCCCCAAATGTTAGCATTTTACTGCATTTGCTTTATCATATTCATTGTCTCCCTCTCTTCCTCTCTCTCTCTCTGTCCCACATAAATGTATGCACATACACATTGTTTTTACTCACATGATGCTCCCTTACTTTTAACTATTTCAGTGTGTTTGTCTGGTAAACAAAAAATTCAGAGTAATTTTTTTTAATTAAAAACAATATGTTTTGCCCTTGCTTTTCCTTTTCCCTTCTCTGACTGAGAGTTTTTAAAAGCAAAATGCCTAAAAGAGAATAAACTGGTTTGATGCTCCACAAATTGGTTCATCAGCCCAAGGATGCTGGAAAATTGGCTATATTTTTGTGATTCAGTGTTTTCAGGTCAGATGAGCTTTCAAATTAGGGGTGGTGGGGATAGCACTGCAACTTGCATCTTCTGTCTTTTTAAAACCTAAATTAATTTCTTAGGGACTATTTAGCCAGCAGCATAATATGAGTGAAGCTTTCTTATAAATAGTGGGCACAAGATGTGATGTGGCTCGTAATCAAGATATCTATTAGAATGCTTGGCCAAACTATTACGAAGTTAGCAGTCACAAAGAACAAGTAGTTATAATCAGGTCAGGTGCTCTATTTTTCCCTTTCGTTTAATGTTGATTCTTATGAATTTGGGATACAGAGGGAATCGTCTATGCCCTAAGTTCACTGTATTGTATTATTAATACCAGGATAGCAGCTGAGTCCCACTAGACGGTCTTTGTGGTCTGCGGATACTCTAAGAAGTGTCTGAGCATAAAAGGAGGCTGTTTGAGTTGAAGTGGGCTGATGGTCTGGGATGACATTTGAATGCATGGAGGACAATGTCTAAATGACAGTATCGAGAAGGGAAGGCAAAAAGAAGCTCAAAACTATTCCCATTGTCCCTTGGATGCTCATCACTCCTCTTGAGATATTCCTCACATGGGAGCTTTGTCTAGCAACAGGGAGTAGGATCAGGGCGGGATAGACCCGGGGTCCCGGGACAAAAGCCAGGGATTCAGGTCCTCAGACACATTAAAATTCTAGACAGATAGCAAACATAATGAAAACCACAACCCAAATGTATTTTAAGTCTAACAAAGTTCAACATTTTAGCTAAATTATTACAAGTATATTTAACAAAATGTTTGCAATACTCTGAGATGCTTCTATGAATAAAGCTTTTAAGAACATCAAATTGGTTGTGCAAATGAATAATTTACCAAGTCTCTATTGGAATTTAGGATAGCTGCTTCCTCTACCAATCTGTACACACACACACACACATACACACACACACTCTGTACATCACACAACCAAATAGAATAATTTTTCAACAGTCCTAGAACTGTGAGGATAACATCATAGAGCAGTCAAAGGATTACTTTTCCACCAAGGAAATAATGCACAAGGCCAATAACAAAAACACTACAAAAGTTAGAGAAACTGATGGAAATTTATCTCATAGTAAGTACTACCATGTATGCCAAGCATGGAATCAAATGCTATATTGTTAACTTCCATACTTGGGTGAATTTTTTCCTGTTAAATTATCACTATTCTTTTAATGTAGCTTGCATTATGTATAGTGCCCTTGGATTTTTAATTGCTCTGGATTATCATTTTCAATGCAATTAGTAAAATGCCCTCAATTACATGTAATAATTACTGTAAATGGGGCTATTGGCCTAATTACTATAAATGGGGAAAGATGTGTGATTATCATGTGCAGTTAAATCATGTACAGTATTTATTTTACATTATTACATACAATAGTGTAATGATAACACGTAATTATATTGTATCAATCCTTGGTCAACAAATCTACGTCACATTAAGATATTTAGAGTTGTGATCCATTGCCAAAGATCCATGTACTGGATCTTCCTTTCTAAAGTAAAGTAAAGTAAAATAATTCTAAAGTAATGAGGGCTAGGAATCCACTAAATAAATTGTGCACAGGCAAGAAAAATCTGAAAGGAAAAAAATTATTTTACCTCCATTAATTAAGAATGCCCAGATTACCCTTTGTTGTCAGTGTTAAATCCTCCCTGAGCCCAATGCCAGCCTCCACCTGCCTGTTTTTATGTAAATGTGTAAAAATCAACACCCTTAAATGGTGGCAACATTTAAAATATGCCTGGGAAAAAAAAAAAAAAGAAGTCCTTTCTTCACTGTGGCAAACGTGATAATCATCCCTAGTTTACAGATGCACACTTAACAAGCTTATAGCACATAATTAATTCTGCAAAGGATGCTGTTTGACAGAGTGGGATTATGAGAATTGCATATTGATAGTGGCAAGAGGAATAAATCTATTTTCTCCACCTAAGGTAGGGTGTTCTTGTGCTCTTTAGAAACTGGCGCATCTCAGAGGTGTTGCTCTCAAAATGATCTCAGGATGGAAAGAAATCAGTAATTACAGAGCCAGGCATTCAGTTGTGTCCTAATTTTCCCACCAGTTTTTCAGTGTTTCAGCTGCCTCCGAGACTTAAAGTATTCTCATTAGGTAGCTGCAGAGGCAGCCGCTTGCCTACTCCCTCATTCTCTCACTGCATTTCCTTTTTTTCCCCTCCATTCCTGCCTTGGGAGTGACTGTGAAGATCATTTTCTGGAATGATTGGCAGGTTAGAGGATTCGATCAGATGAGTTCCTCTTAGTGCAGGTCAAAAAGGCTAGTTAGCAGGAGCTGTCGAAAAATGCCAGCAGCATTCGAAATGGGAAATGTCATGACTTCGAGGCAGGGGGTGCCACCTGGAACAGAAAGCCCCCAGCTCATTAGCAAGTTACAGGATGCTGGCTTAACTGGAGGGAGCAGAGAAGGAAAGATAATACCCAATAGAGAAAATGATTGTGAAGTGGAATTGATTTCATGTATAATTTGTTTATCACTAGAGGGGACAAATGCTGTCCTTCTGACATGAGCAGAGGAGTGTGGACTGTGAATGAAGCAACTTAGCATAATCTCCAGGTCGAGCTTTGGATTTAAAGAATGCAAACTTCTTTATGCTTAACTGTGGAAATGATCAGGTCATGTTACATTAATTAAAGCTGACATACTCTCAAATGTTTTATCTGGGCAATTGTGGCAATTCGACAGAAATGGATAGAGATGGGCAACTTTAGAAAATAGGAGGAATTTTTTTCCTCTGCTGGTGTGGAAGACTAGCTCAGTTGCATACTGAATTATAACATGGCTGGTGTTTACCTTCAGTGGTTAGCTAGGCTGCACAAATCAAACCGGGTTCCCGATTCGCTTGCGATCTTGTTTAGAGAGGAGAATGTTTGCCCTTTAGGAGATTTAGATGTATTCCGTGTTAAAACATAGACGTGTATTTTGGAATATGACTGTATTGTATTTTGATATAATGTTAAAATTTTAATCTTTTTTTTAAAGGGGAAGCTCTCTAATTTCATTCCTGCCTAATTATAAGTTCCTGTAGAATATGATACTTTACCATAAAGTCCTCGACTTACAGCAGCCATATTTACCAAGCAAATTAAACTCAAAAGGTGTCCTTATAGGAAAAAATTAATCTGCAATTTGTAAAAAGAGAATGTAGTGGCAAAACAGAAAATAATATTGCCTGGGAAGAACTCATATTAAACTCCAAAATTAAAGCTTCCAGTATTTTTACAATGTATTAAATAGGCTATAGTGTAAAGCCTTTTCCTACATAAATTCCATCAGAAAATGTATTTTCTTTTGATGAGAAACTTTCACGATCTCATTTATCTCTGACATGGAGATCTTCGTCTTGTTATTTTAAGTCACAAATGCCACAGCTGCAAGTCTTTCTGGCTGAACACTGAAAGATGTTTACTTAGCATCTAGATTTTCGTTAAAACATATATTTTCAAAATGTCTTTGCCTTAAGTTTCTCTTTTCTCTTAAATATTGAGACATTTTATGAGGCAGTTATGAAATAGCCAATGCTTGTTTTATCAAGCAGCCTCAGACTGCTGTCTTAAGTGAATAGGAATCTTAAAACCTCCTAGTCAAAACACTGGTGGAAAATTCATTCTGTTCTGTATTCAGCATAAAAAGCTTAGCATTAAGCTACTGAATATAGCTGTCAAGATATACGGCGTTAGTTTTGTCAAATCTGAAAATTTAAACATCTGTGGGAATCCACCCATCCCCTCACTTGAGAGTTTTATTGTGTGGTCCAGAAGCTGACCTTTGAAAAGAAAAATTATAAAATACTGTTTTAAATGGTTCGTCTAAAGTTAAGATTTTTTTATTCTTCTGCAGTAACTTAATTTGTTAACAACTGATGGATTTATTAGAAAAATGAATGAATCAAATTTTTGAGAGAAAGCATTTTAAAAAAGAATTTTTTTAAAATAAGAGAATTGGGTCTCATTGTGTACAAGTAGGTTTCTCACTCTTCAGACTAGCTTTAAGTAAGATGCCCTTCTCTCTCAAAACAGGCAAGCCGAAGGTGCCTGACTACACAGAGCCAGAGGTGAATGGTGGCATTTGTGCACATGTGGTCTCATGACCCACCCTCTTCTCCATCCCCTGCCCTCAGCTTGGCCTTCCAAAGTCAGCTCTGCATTCACAGACTTCATAGACTCTCCACTATTTGGCATTCTTCTCAATTAATCTCCTCTCCTTTAAATAAAATAATCTCTGGTACATATTGACATATTGACATTCTTTTTTTTTTTCCCCTGAGGAAGATTAGCCCTGAGCTAATATCTGTTGCCAGTTTTCCATTTTTTTCTTGAGGAAGATTTGCCCTGAGCTAACATCTGTGCCAGTCTTCCTCTATTTTGTATGAGAGTCACTGCCACCACATGGCTGCTGACAAGTGGTATAGGTCATTGCTTGGAAACTGAACCTGGGCTGCTGAAGCAGAGCATGCCAAACTTAACTGCTAGGCCATGGGGCCGGGCCCATATTGACATTCTTATATTTATCATTCCCTTTTTTTAATCTTTCCACAACTCTATAGATTGAGTGATCCTGTTGTCACCTTTAGATTTGTAGGTTCTCTACTGATAAGGTCCCTAGGTTCCAAAGAAAAGAAATGACATCCTTGTAATTGTCCTCTATATCAGCAGTTCTCAAAGTGTGGTCATGTTCTCTGGAGATCCCCAAGAGGCAACATGGGGTCAAAAAGTGTTTTCATAATAACACTAAGATGTTCTTTGCCTTTTGCACTGTGTTGACATTTGCACTAATGGTGCAAAAGCAGTGGTAAATAAAACTCCTGACCTTAGAATGAATCAAGGCAGTGGCTCCAAACTGTATTTCTAGGCATTGTTTTCTTTACCACCATACAATGATAATTGTTTTTAAAAGCCAGTTTTACTTAATAATGTTTTTGATGAAGAAGTGAAAATTAATAATTTTATTAAACGTCTCCCTGTAACTAAATGTCTTTTTAATAGTCTGTGTGAATAAATGGGAAGTTTGCGTAAATCATCTACACTATATACCTAATGACTGTGGTTGTCTCAAGGAAAGCTCTGGTGTAGGTGTATGAGTTGCAAGCTGAACTAGCTGCTCTTTTCTTGAAATGTTTTCACCTGAAAGAACAACTGACAGAGAAACTGGTTATTCAAACTTGGATATTTGGCAGACATTTTCTCAAAAAAGAACAAAAAAAAAAGTGGATCTGTCACCTAAGGAGAACAACTGGCAGTATTTGCTGCTGCTGATAAAATTAAATCTTTTAATATAAAATTAGAATTTGGGGAAACTATAGAACATTTTGTTTGCCACGGTGAGCCTGACAGTTCCATAAACATTTTTCAAATGAGATAGATGTTTATATAAGCAAATGTGATTTTTTGATATTGTATAGTGAAATGTGTCAACATTTGAAAGATCTGTATAATGCATTGAATCAGTATTTCCCAACTGACCAATACACACTTTTAGAAAATCATTGCATGGACAAAACATTCACTGAAAGTGTAAGATAAACCAATAGATTTTAAAGTAATAGAATACAAAGAATTCATTGATACAGTTTCAGATTCCCCAGTACAACTAACCTTTAAGAAACTACCACTCATTGAGTTTTGTTGTAATATAAAAGAAGAATGTATATCCACAATCATCTGAAAGGGCTGTTGAAATTCTTTCTTTTCCAAACACATACCTGTGAGAGGCCATATTTTCTTTAGTTGTTTCAACCAAAACGACATATCATGGAACAGATTGAATACAGAAACAGGCATGAGAATCCAGCCGTCTTCCCTTCAGCCCCATATTAAAAATATTTGCATAATTGTAAAGCAGTGCCATTCCTCTTGCTAATTCTACTTGGAAAATATAGTTATTTTTATTAAAATAATGTTTTTATGTTAACATGTAATGGATTTTTTAAGGAATTAATAAATAAATATTTTAAATTATCAATTTTAATTTCAAATGTGGTAAATGTCAATAGCCATAATCCATGTAAACCAAAAGCTCTTTGGGGGTCCTCTATAATATTTGGGTATAAAGGGTCCTTAAGACCAAAAAGTGTGAGAGCCGCTGTTCTGTATCAGTAGTGCTGTGTGTAAACCCTAACATAGTACTTATGTTGACAACATGTTTTCCTCTTGAATAAATTACTATTCACTTAATTTTTTTTTTTTTTTTTGCTATATAAAATTATTCCACTTCTATCCATCTAATTGAATATCTCAGTTTTTCTGGGGTGTAATGGATAAAATCCCTATTCTTGTGTTTACATAGATGCCATCTGAAAATTGCAATAGAGTGCCATTTCTATGCCCTTGATGATTAGTAGACAAATTCTTAAAAGCCTTTTGTTATATATGAGTTTGAAGGATGTGACTTTCCCTGTGTTATAGGCACTAAGTTTGACCTTGTGTGGAGAGGCTCTGACCATGTGACACTAAATCAACAGGCCATTTTACAAAGCTTGTTGATAAGACTCAGGAGGACTTTCAATACAGTGCCCTGATCAGACTCCGTAAATTCTCTTTCAGGAGATGAACTACTGTGAGGTAGCTCATGGAAATGTAGATGCGTTTGGGGGTTCAGAATTGAAGGGAAATAGTCAGCATGATTAACCATTAAATTAGGCTTGTATTTTTTTTAACTCTTTATTTTGAAATATGTTTAGATTTACAGAGGAGTTGTAAAGCTAGGACAGAGAGCTAAACCTTTCACCCAGCTTCTAATATTAACAACCTTTATAACCATGGTACATTTATCAATCTAAGAAATTAACATAGGTACCATACTATTAATTCAACTACAACTTTATTTGTAGGTCATCTATTTTCACACTCATGTCCATCTGTTCCAGGATACCACATTGCATTTAATTGTCGTGTCTCCTTGGTCTCCTCTGGTCTGTGGTAGTTTCTCAGTCTTCCCCAGTTTTTCATGACCTTGATGCTTTTGAAGAGTACTGTTCAGGTATTTGGTGGAAAGTCCCTCATGATGTTTTCTCATGATTAGACTGGGGTTATGGTTTTTAGGGAAGAATATCACCAAGATCAAGTGCTCTTCTCATCACATCATGTCAGGAAATACATGATATCCGCATGACTTATCACTGGTCATGCTGACCTTGATCACTAGGTTAAGGCAGGTGAGGTTTTAAAGCCAACGTGATATCCAGAAAGTGAAGTCAGAGAAGCAAGAAGTCTGGGACAGGTTCTCAATCAAATGGAAGGAATTCAAGACAAGTTATTGGGTGGAGGACAGGGCTACCTGATGTCAGAATCGGAAGAGAGAGAGAGAGAGAAATTACTCTCAAGGCTCAAACCTGCCTGAAAATGGAGGAGAGGAGTGACCAAGAGAGAGTACAGTGTCCAAGTTAAGAATCTTGAAATGTTCCAGCCTCTGACTCAGGATCAGAGAGAGAATTTAACAAGATGTCTGACAGTGTGAAATATATTTTGTGAATATGAATAAATGTATGGCTATTTGACACATGTTGGAAACAAAGCCAGAGTTTCAGATCTTCTGTATTGAAGTTCCCTATGATTTATCTGTCTTCCCCACGAGAATCTAGATCTCAGAATAGAGGAATTTGTTTACTGTTTTATTCTCATTTCACTTTTTTATCTCCATCTCCTAGTATGGCATATAATTTATGCCTATTAAATATTTCTAAAATGTTGACTGAATTAGTGAATATCCAGCTAACTCACCATACCACAATCTTCTGCTCTTTCAGCAAATGTTTTTTGGTTATAGCCATTATATTGGTGCTGTTCTCGGCAGTAGTGGATAAGACAGTTTCTAGCCTCAGGAGACTCACAATTTAGAGTCACAGATACAAGCACTTAAATTTCAAGATTATAAAGTCTACAGTAGAAGTTTGCATGAAACTACATGAGAGGACAAATGAGGTATAAATTAATTCTGCTGGAGAGTATTGAGAAGGTTTCACAAAGGAAGAGATTTTGAGCAAAAGGAGGAATTAGATTTTTCCATGGGCATGGAGGAGGAGAAGAGTGTTTTCAAGCAGAGGAAACACTGAGAGCAAAGCCATGTCACAAAGTGCGATATCCTAGGGGATGGTGTGGTAAAGCTAAGGGCGTGGGGATGGGGAATGAGGAGAGTGGGGCCCAAAAAGGGATTTTGAAGGTAGATTGTGAAGGGTCTGGAATGACATGCTAAGGAGTTTGGATTTTAATGTGATTGCACCGGGGTAAATATATATGACTTCCTGATCATTCACAGGAGAATCAAAACATCTTAAAGATGGAAGATCTTTTAGGGTCATATAACAACCATGAAAGAAGATGTGCTATTTTTTCTTTTCTTTAGACCACTTATTATGGTAGAGGCTGTTTTGAAAATAAAGAAAATGTATAAAATTCCATTCACACTTGTATCTAACAATATTAGAATATTAAAAACTATATCAACACTTACCCTTCTCTTTGGCTGAAAACCTATTCATCCTCCAGCCATGAAATTTCGTGAATCTATTATGGGTATGATTCCTTTATTATACTTTTTTCAACATGTACATAACATGTTTCCTGAAAAGTTATGCATAAATTCTTTATTTTGCGTGAAAGAATATGGCTTCTTTGTACACAGATCTTTTTGTAAAATGAATAATGACCCCTTAATGTAACTTCCGTGAATATGTAGAATTTCATTTATTAAGATACATTGACACTATTTGAGGGAAATGCGAAAACTAAAAAGTGAGGTGACTTTTCCAGGGATAAAAATTTAAGACAATTTTTGAAGTTGACAGAAATGTTTAAGAATTTAGTATTTTCGTAGTCTTACTTGGAATGTGCTCAGCACCCAGTAGGTGTGCAAAAGTGTTTTCATGAATAAATTCATACTGATGTCTATGAACTTTGAGTTCCTATAAGAGTTAATTCTAGTTTTCATGCCCATTTTTGCCTAAATACAAATAAACTGTTAAGTATTTGAAGATCTTAAACTGTGTCTAACCAACCTCTTAAAACTACCTAATATTTAGTAACTCAATAGCTTTTTCGGTGATGATGATGATAATGCAAAGGAAAAATGTTAAAACACCTAAGATAAGACAAATTAAACATAAATTATTTTTAATAGATCACTTACATATTTTTAAATGAAATTGTTAAGTAGAATAGTGTGCCAAACTACATGAAATATTACACAGTCTTAAAAATTATAGTCATGAAGGCAGATAAAGTGGAGAAATACATGTGATCGTGTGAAAAAAGTAGAATATTCTTCTTGTACTTGTAAAATT